TTTTTTTTTTTTTTTTTTGAAAATGATTTATTTGCTCCCAAAGCTCACAAATGAAAGCAGTCAAAGTTTTTATTATCAGTCAAAAAGTCTGTCCTGGATTAAATTTGTTGATGTTTCTTTTTTTAAGAGAAAATGGAGTTTGTCAGAAATACTTTTTATTTATTCAGAGCTAATTTTACAAATTATTCTTGATTTTTTTGTCAGTCGCTTTATCACTAAACTGAGAATTAACAGTAAAAAAATTGTTTCAAATGATTAATCGGTGCTGGTTACATTCATAAACTGCAGCAATATTTGAACCGATGAACTTTTTTTTTTACTAAGAAAGCAGAACTGTATGTATTATTATTGTGCAGATTCATTTTTTTCTACTCATACAATTATTAGTTATCACTATTTTTAAAGTACTGTTTAGCTTTAAAAAAATTTTTTTTTCGCTGTGTACAGTTTCACTGGGGAGTTACACGTAGAAAGCTCTGCTAAATACTTACCAAATTTTGTTTCCATATCGAATATGCTTATTGACACTAAAGCACCCAATTCAGTAATCGCACAACTTACATAAAGCAAATGGGTCACTTGATAATATAGTTTTTTTGCTTTTTTTGGTCTTATGGAGAAGTAAAGACGTGTGTACAACTGAAAAATGCGTCATTTTACCTCCTCATCATTTCTCTCATTTTCTTAACATTATTTTTTGATGTTCAACTAACTGTTTTTGCTGTTGATGAATAGTCGAAATAAATTTTATGGGTAAAAATAACAGAGAAAAAAATAAAAGGAAGAAGAAGAAATAATGATAAAGTAAGGTTGCATGTTTTTTTTGCACGTAAAAAGATGTAACTTACTATCACAACCAGTAATCGTCCCGGAACATGAATAAACATTACAAAAAGCCAAAAATATTTTTGTGGCTCAGTGCTTATTGAAAAGCTAACTGGTGGCATTATACTGAAAATAGATTAAACTTTTTCACAGATTATTTGGAGCAATAAATTAATTATTTTAGATAATCTACTAAAATTTTAGTTTATTTTAACAATTCAATGATGTGTGAAATTGATTTAAACTGATTTTAATTACTGCTTTATAAAAACGAATCTATACTTAGTGTACTAAAAAGTGTGTTCGCTCTGATTACTATGAATACCGTCATTACTGCATCTGAATCGTAACAGATAAATAAACTTTCGAGTTTTCTTATTTGTAGGCAATGCTTAACTCTATTCAAATAAAATGTGAATCCAAAAAAAAAAAAAAAAATACGGTCTATTTTCTGATTAAAATTCCTAATACGGTAATGTCGAATTTTTGTCTGTTTTTTTTTTGTGGTTTTCTTTTTGTAACTCTTAAACAATGTTTTAAATGTTTCAAATTGTTGTCTATATTATTTTTGAACCTAAAGAAACACACTTTTAGGAACAGTGTTAAAGAAAAAGAAAAGAGGAAGAAGAAACTAAATTACTACCTTCTAATTGTGGGGCATTCTTCGCTTGTAAAATTAGCAGCCATATGAGACTGAAATAAGTATGTATATCCGATACATAAATAACAAGCGATACCGGGGAGCAAAGCCCCTATAAATGCCACGAACTTGGAGTTGAAAGTAAATCCGTCTTTGATCAACGGAACAGCATCTTTTTCCATCATTTCAATTTAACATTTTCGTATTTCTTATTAATAACAAAATTTTTTTTTTTTTGGTTTCGTTGTTGTTGCTGTTGTTGCTGCTGTCGTATTATATTTTCTGGAGTATGTTTACCAGTTTTCTAAAGAATCTTTTCTAAGCTAGTATTAAGAAGAAAAGGAGTATAATATAACGAAATATCGGTGAAGTTGAAATTTATAGCAACAATTGATTGGCACATATGATTTAGACATTTGACGGAAAAGAAGCTAATAATTTATGACAGTAACGAGCATTTGTTTGATAACAGATATTAGGTTTAGCAGTGGCTTTGAATACGGCAACAGAAAAGACAATTGCTTACTATCAGCAAATAAATGACAACTGGAACAGAATTGTAACAACAGTTTTTTCGCCTAATTGTTTAAAAGTTGCAGTCGTTAGGCATCTGAAAACAATAACAGCCACATTTCCTTTTTTTGTGCGCCTTCACATCGATAAACGTAACAAAAACACATTACTCGATTGATCGTCTATCGCAATCAGTGAAAGGTCACCGATGCTCGGTCGATGATGAGGAATCTTTAGAAGAAAAAAAAAAAATTTACCTCTAACTAAAATGATGGAGTAATGGAAAATAAACTTGGAAGGAAGTACGCTTTAGTGACGACAGTTTACAAACTGACTTCACTGTAAAGTTCTGTTAACGGTAAATTGACTCAAATTTAATTCAACTAAAAAAAAAAAAGGGAAAGAAACAAGCTTTTTTTTTTCATCCACCACTCCACTTCTTTCTAAAAAAATAAAAAAAAAACAACTTTTAATATATTAATTAACAAAAAAATTTAACTGAAAATGTACAGTTAAAACAATC